GGGAGTGAACTCCGATTTTCAGGGGGGGGGAGGGGTGGGTGAGGGTCGAGGCAGGTACACAAAGTTTGAAGATTTGATCAACCAGTTCAAGATTAATTAAACAGCAAACTAATTAAATTCAATTGAGAATCGATGGCCAAAAATATCCGACGAGCTTACAGACCCAAGTGTGTAGGGAAAAAAACCGTGAAATTGCACGGTTTTCCAAAATAGCTTAAATAAAACCTGTACGGGACATCACAAATGTGCTAGGTTTTCTTAACCAGATGATTCAGGATTTACGTGAAATGTACTTTTTGAGATGTTTTCGCCATATTCTTACTAGTGTTTTGTGAACTTCGCAAAAATAATTGGTCCTATTCTCAGATCACACTGAAAGAAAGTTTCCATCAGATAGTCTGCGGTTGACAAGCAACAGTCTCTTTTCACTCAGAGTTATGACTTGATTTCTAACTTTTCCTCTCGTCTACCAAGAGATTTTTCAATGTAAATAGTATTGTGAACAACATTTTTCAAGGTTGGGCATGTTTCGTGTTTCCATGAAAGAATCTATTGACGTCCTTTCACACGAAGCTGAGTCTGGATTGTTAGTGACAACGGTAATTCAAGCTCATGAAACGGGTTCCATGATTTTACCACTGTTCGATAGTATCGTCCCGTGTGATTCCATCTGCTTGCCTAACACTTTTTAGATCACTTTCAGCGCTTCATTTTGTGGTCAGTTTCTGCCACGTAGCTTACTACTCTTGACCAGGCTAGGTATGTCCGGGTGATTGTCTTGTTCAGTCAGGCGTCTACTACTTGGATAACTGCTCATCTGTGCTTTGAAGGCAGTTCTCGAAAATGTTCAACGTTTTCGGCGACGACTGCGGTGAATGGAGTTCTTGCAGTGCGTTTTTATTTATTATTTATTTGGTTGTTCACTGCTGAACAGGCTGTGCTTTATAAGTTCACAGCTCTTTGATGATCAGATATTTTTCGTTCCAGATGATGGATCACGTACCATGTATTCATTTCGCTGGGATTTAGGCTTGAAAATAGCACTGTTGAACTTTTTCTGTAAACTTCTGATACGTTGAACGGTGGTTCCCTCTGTCTGATCCCTTTTTGAGATGCACTTTGAAAAGACGAAGCCTCGGTTGTGCGTAGCTGACAGATGGGTTCCGGTAAAAACATGAAACCAGTATGATAATTGGTAGAACACTTTTGTTGCTGTCAAAACTGAAAAATATGCTCGCAATGGAGCCAACGTAGTAAGATTCAACCATTGATGTTCTATAGTATACAATTTTTCAATCTAAACGAAAACGTGGCTGACAGAAGTGGGTCGAGTGAAGAACTTTTTGGGAACAACTGGTCTATGCATGATTGATTATCGCCGATTAAAAAACTACTTCATTCTTAGAGAAGAACATACACTATTTGGCTTGCGTTATGTCCACCTCTCGACCAGAACCGTTCATCCGTCTCCGCTGTGATGAAAACATAAATTCCGAATATCATGCAACAGACCGGGGAAAAATGAGCACTAAAATGACAATCGAATCAGCCAATCAATTTATGTTCTCCTGCACTGAATGGTGGAAAAATACCAGGGAAAATCATCGGACAATATGCGTAGATTGAAAGAGAAAAAGTTGATTTAAACGCCGGAGGTACCAAACCAGACAGAAAGACCGTCCTCTTGCGTCTGGAATTGTCTGTTGTTGTTGCTGCTGCTGCTGCCGTTCTTATTGTTTTTGCTTGTCATTTCGCTATTCCCGTTCCTAATCGACTATGTTTCCAACTCAGTGTATTTCATTTTCCAAATGTGGGGGGGGGGGGGCNGGACTGGGGGAACCTTAAATTTGAGGAAGGTTTGAGATTATTCGAGATAATGTTACCACATTCTGAACAAAAAAACAATCGCACCATGGAATCTGCTGGCAACTGCATTCGGTTTCTAAGTAGTTATTTAGAAAAGCTTGAATTCACTGCTGCTGAGATATGGTTTATCAAGCATTAAAGTATGGTTCTATTCCCTTTATCGATCGCATGTAATGATTCTCTCAAGCGCCGGATACTTTAAGTATGCTCATTTATCTGTTGATGGGGTTATCCGACAAATTTATGAACTAGACACGGGATCAACTTTTTTATTTGGGAGAACAATACCAACTGTTTTTTTTTTAAAAACGGACTGCTATAAAACGGCGAGTTTTGATGATCATTACTCTGAGAACAAAAACTAACTTCCGATTCATTTTGACTGAAATTTATGTGTTTAGAAAAGGCATGTTAGATAGCGCAAGTTTTCATGATCACCCGTTGCTAATCAGATTACGCAACTTTTCAAAAATCACTATTCATTTCCTGATGTGAAACAAAACACGGATTGGTGACCAAGCTAGTATTCAAATATTCGTAATCACATTAATAGATGATTATCAATAAATATATATATATATATATATCATTAATTGCAGACAAAAACTGTTTCGGGAAGAGAAAATTTGCATCATACATTGCTGGGATAGGTTTCAGATTGTGAACAATAACTAACACATAGTAGCTTATTCATTCACTCAACAATATAGATTACTCAGAATGTGGGGTCTGGTACAGGTCTGGTGTAGGACAAGAGAGCCTGTAAAAATTTCAAGCCAAGTTAATAGAAGCTTTAGGGAACCAATCTGCAGCCAATTGTTCAGCATTTTCGATGCTATGTAACGGACAAGCATGCACACAAAGCGAGCAGGAGGTGACAAAACAGTCGGGTGCAAAAAAAAAATACGAGCAATCACAACGCGATCGATGATTTTGCGAGGCCATGGTGATAGATGTTCAATTCACAAATATACGGGGATGACAAGGATTGGTGATATTTTTTTCTGAGTGCAAAAAGAAGGTTCAAATTGTGACCTGTACAGCCACGCGGTGATTGTAACGAGACAGTGGACTTTTTCAAACATTATTTGTTGAATGACGCAATTGCACGTATCGGAATGCTTGCGCAAAACAAAATCAACCGGATCAGTCTGGTGCATAAGACTGAACTCGGGCAATAAGTTTAATCAATCTGGAAATGAGCGTAAAGTCTGTTTCTTGTAGAACTATAGAACAACTGTATGGAACAGTACAGTTACTTTAGAAGCATGCAGTCTTTCACAGAGTGTGCGATTGTGCAGACAACGTCCTAGTGCATCTGTTGCTGCGAGTATTGAATAGTGAACTCCGCTTGAGCACGAACATTAGGTCGTGTGTGTGTGTGTGTGTGTGTGTGTGTGAGGGAGCGGAATGTCTCGATCACGTTCGCCGTGTTTCGGTTGATGCGGAAACACACAACAATTGCCCGACAGTGTGGTTTAAGTACATTGTTGCACGGGAGCATGACAAACAAACGGATTCACCACGTGCTTGGTTATTTCTAATCAGCTGGAACTAAATGAGTACAACTCGATGCATTCAGTATCCGTGCAATGCACTTTCAATGGCAGATTGTTTTGGTTCTTCGCGAACGTATTCTTTTTATTTTTTTTCAGACTAAACAAAGTTTCCAACGCATGGCACCCATAGGAATTGTTCTATGCAAATGTTTCGTCCACGTTGTACTATGAATCTTTTGAACAAAGTGTTTCTGCGCACGCACACACAGACACACACACACCGTTATTGGCTAAAGTGAACGTCGTCGGAATCCATCGAATATTAAAGAGACTGACTTCAACACGAAAATTTCTAATAACACCCACTTCGCTTTCGATTGATATGAGATTGCTGATATCTCTCTCTGTCTCTCTACCGTTTTGAATCCATCGCTATTTGTTTCCCGTCTCTTTATGCGTCCGGACAACGGTTGACTTGTTTTGTCAAGCTGAGACGCAGGTGGGTGGGATGGTGGAATAAACCACATGTGCAATCACATGGCACCTTTTTGGCGTTATTTTTTTTCACTCATCCGTTAGAATACGTGGGTGATCCACTCTTGCAACAGACATACTTTCACTTGACTGTACCGGATAGAAGTCTCATCAAGGCCCCCAATAACCCTCAAATCCCTCAAACCCACACATGCAAACGCATACGCGTACTCCACAACTATAGCAGATAGAGAGAAAAATAATAATAATAATAATTTGTATTCAATTCACATTTACTTGTCAGTAGTGGTATGAGATATGTTATACTGATGATGACTGATTATCCTTCAGACCTCATCTACACGCACAATGCTCTGTTCATTCAGCCAATCATACACTCGTCAAGTATTGAATGACCATTATTATTCACTTTTCGGGGTGCACGATGCATAATATATTTGACGAGATATCTAGACAAGTACGAATTGGCAACTGTGATCAGGCATGAGGTGAACTGGTTAGCACAGTGGTAACACACACACACACACACACACACACACTTTCCATTGCGATAGGTTTGGAGGTCAAAGCCCAAACGGGAGGGAGTGTGTGCGTATGTGCATTACTGATGAACTCTAATAAGAGCAAAACGCCAGTCAAGTGTTTCCGAGTGTATTCTTGAATGGATCACCTGAACATTGGGCATGAAGATGAGGTCTGAAGGATGTTCAGTCCAAATGAACAATACACGGACAAATTAATCCCAATTTTTCAACGAGTATTCTCTGGTTACAAATGTCGTTTTGGAACATAGCAATTGATTGATTATTCACTGGCGTGATAGTAAGCAACATTCTTTTATCTTTTCTTATTGTTCAATTTGATCTAATTGGAGGAAAACCAGTACACTACAGTACACAAGATAGATGTTGACTAACTTGATGCAATGAAACCGTAACAGTAATAGCAACCGCAGCAGCAGCAGCAGCAGCAGCAGCATGCACAGTCGCGGAGTTCATGTTGTTGACCTTATTCTCGCCAAACACAAACAGCGCACACATCTGTCGATCGATAGCACAGAAAGAGCATCCATAGGCTTCTCCAAGAAGTGTGATGAGCTGATTTTCACACACACACACACACACACACAGGTAAACATATCCATCGACTCTCATCCCTCTGCCTCGTTTTACTCACACACAAATATCCGACGAGAATTTCATCGTCGCGGTTCTCTACCGGTCACTTCACGCACGCAATGCACTTTTCATCACATTATCTTGGTAAATCCTATGCGAATCGATGCAGACTCCGTGTTGACGGTTCCGTTTATGCTCTGAATTGTATGGGGACTACAGGTCGGAGAGACTCACACAAATTCAGATTGCTAAATACTCAACTGTTTTGATATATTGGAAACCGAAGCTCCAACAACAACAGCAACAACAACAACAAATCAAGAATTCTAAATGGTAATCATTGATCCAAATGTTAGTTTAACGAGGATAACCAAAAGGGAATCCGCTGTGAGCAGTGTAAATTCTTGACCTCTAGGCCGCGTCCATTTCACGCGAATGCGCAATGCGACAGTCAAGCAATCCCTTGCTCAGTGGTTGACTGCGTATTTGTACATTAGCACCGCGTTTATAAGTTGTACCAACTGGTTACTTAAAGTCAATTAACTTGATATAGTGTCTCGCAATACTAGGGCAAATCTATAGCCACTTCCAGTTTTCCAGTTTATATTGCCCCATACGATACACCAAGGGCTTTCACTTATTGATCAATTGAATCTTTCGAATACAATTATATAATCAACAAAACCATGTGCTTTATTATTTAGGTCGTTATATTGGTAATCATTGGCATAGTGATGATGATGATGATGATGATGATGATGATGATGACGATCATGAATTTACTGGTGATGATTATCATAATACTTTTTTGGCAACACAATCACCATAACTAACATTTTAACCAAGCATAAGGATTCCGGTGAATTCTAAGGAGATCGGACTGAATGTCAAATGTAAAAAACATCAAGGGGATTTTGATATGACCTCCTAGTTCACTTGGTGAAAGGTATACAATGAGAAAGTATCAATGGTATGGGTTAAAATCACACCGGTGTTCTTCACAACTTAAGCACATTCACATTTATAGCGAATTGTGTCATGTGCAGATCAGATAAAGCTTGAATAGAAAAAAAACAACAACTATGAAGCACTGTGCAGCTGTTTCAACCTAATTGGGCCTCGGCAATGATGCGAACCTATGAAACAATTATGTGAAAACAACTGTACACTCAGCGCTTCTTAGCTTTTCAATTCCAACTTTATTTGCTCTGCTGTACACGACAAATTTGATTGCATATTTGAATTAAATCCCCATTGATCCAATGTAACCTTTACGTGACCCTCTCCCTTCCTTTCCCCCCCCCCCCCNCAAATGACGGACAATGATAACACCAAAATGGAACATGACAAGGAAGAAGATTTGAAATAATTTCGAGTTCACAGTTGATGCATCAATGCACGGGAATAAGGTAAGTTAAGAGATAATGAATAATCAATCAAACTCGTTATTCACTGATTTCATTAAGGATGAAAGGAGGTGATCTAGACGTGTACAGGTATTATGGGCACAATCATAATACACAATTGATCTCATTAACTTGTATTTTTTTGGAAGGGGGAAGGCTGAGTGAAACTGAGTTATCCAACCATTGTCCAGTTTCATGCACAATCGTGCACCTATTCCCCGCAAGCTTTCACTGATCCAGAACGATTAGACTAAAGCGTTCGCACAGGTTACAGTTCATCCCTAGCGCATATGCACCAATTTGAAATTTGCGCTTATAGTTACCAGACGGTATATGATGTCTCCGGATGATATTTTAGAACCAAATCACCTGATGGACTGAGAATGTGACCAAAGTCTTCACAAGTATGAATTGATAATCCTGGGCAGTCCCAATCAATACTCTGGTAGCTTACGTGGGGTTTAAGACCCGGACTACATATGGAATACTGATGAGTTCCAGTAGGAGCGAATAATCCGTCCAATGCTTCTCAACTATGCGGTTGTGATTGGACGGATTGTGTGTGAAACTGAACGCTTATCGAAAGTCAAGCGGATGATTATTTTGAAACAACTATCCAATCGAAATAGAAAGTTTCAATTGCAAACAGTAACAGATAAGCCAACCGGAATCACAAAGCTTACCTCTGCACTCAGTGCTTGTTCCCGAATCGCATACGCATTCTTTTTCTCTGAACTCGATTGTAAAAGTTTTGCAGCGGCCAACGCTGAATTTAGGCGCTCGCTAAGTTGTACGCATTGCTCTCTGAGGGACTGGCGATCTTTTTCAATCGACTCAATTTTGGTTTGCAATTCCTTCTGAAAAATGTCAGTACACAAAAACAACTGAGAAAACAAACAAAAATTGGTCCAATGAGGAGATTTCATGGAACAAAATAAGCATCGAGTATGCGACAGATCGAAATATTAACATAGGTTGCTGTAGCCAGTCACGGGATCTTTAAATTTGGCCGTGCATTGTTATCGTGGAATATGTTTTCGTGAAGTTACGGTGCAAGAACGCGTGACCATCACTTTTGAATCAACTCGTTATATTCTCAAGGTTAAATGTTGTCCTAAAACACCAGATTTTTGAAATCCTTGCAGTTTATCGTGCAGAAAAATCAGTTTCTTACTTTTGCCAATTCTGCAGGAAATAGCTTCAAACGATTTCAAAAATCTGCTCAAGGACACCATAAAAAACACCGTGCTGACTGGTGTGTGGCGCTTAGGCGGCGTTCTGTTGATAATTTGACCGTTCTGTCTATTAGCTTATGTAACATTCGTTCACTCATGAGAAAACTCGATGATGTTAAGAGCATGAAACACCGAAGGAATGCAAACATTTAGAGGTAATTCTACTCCAGGAAAGCTGGCTACATCCTGATATTGAGGACAACGTCGTGCATCTTGATGGATTTGACATATTCTGAGGCGACCGTAATGTGAATCCCCTTCACAGAGGTGGTGGAGTAGTCACTTTCGTCAACAGGATGTGGTTCAAAGACGTTCGTAAATGTTTTCAATTTAATACTGTCAAGATAAATTGTATTTCTGTTTATTGTAGGCCCCGATTTACCAGTCACTTTCATCATATTACATTAGCCAACATTTACAACGCTCCCGACATGCCTGCCTCTGATATTCGTTTGTCTGTCGACTATTCCTCCTCACAACTTGTTACCGGTTTAGACGTTATACATTGTTGCTGGCGATTTTAATCATTTTAATATATCTTTCCTCACAACTTTAGGTTTGACGAATCTTGTAAATTTTCCTACCCGGCTTGGTATTCAACTCAACGGAATTTTGTGAATAGCCCGGATATCTTTTTCATTGAGAAGCGGGTTCCCATAGGTAGCTCCGATCATGCTCTATTCTTTTGCACCCTAAGATTGACGGTAAATATTTTCAGCACCATATGAACCGTTCCACATCCAGAACCATCAGAAGTAGAAGTCGCATTGCTGATAACTTATCCAAACTTAAAGATATGGTTCCATCTACCGATTTCATTGTCTTTGCCAACGCTGACAACTCTTCCAGTTGTGAGCATCTCACATTTTATCTTAATTTCTGCTATGATCTGTGTTGCCCAGTTGAGACCTTATATATTCGAACTGACAGATTCTATTCGCCTCTTCTAAACGGCTTCGTTGTGATAAAAAAAGGCTTACAGGACTGGAAGGTGCAGTGTTGTCAAACAACTATCATTATTGATCAAAATGGAAATACAGTGCCTAAATCGGATTTATATTGAAATTTTTATGGGAAACCAGAGCTGCCGCGATATGCGGTCTGCTTTGAAGCAGCTCTGTGGATCCTGCAACAGATCTTTTCCGGATGCTGAGGAGCTAAACCGTCAATTCGCAAATGATAGCTATAAGGAACTCAACACCATCTTTATTTACATCTACTGAAAAGAACCAATCTGTTACCCCTGTGGAAGTCCTGAATGTACTCAAGTCCCTTAAATCTAACAAGGCAGATGGCCCTGATTTGTTGTCCTCCTACATACTGAAAGAGTGTACTGAACAACTTGCTTCACCTGTTTCTGAGTTGTTCAATTTGTGTATGTCATCTGGAAGCATCCCCGATTGTTTAAGAGCTGCTCGGATAACCCCAATTTCCAAAAAAGGATCTTCCAAATGTCGACCGATTGCCTGCACACCAGCATTATTGAAAGTTTTCGAAAGAGTCCTTCCTAACTGGCTGACTCTTTTGTCTATCACCCGTGACCCTATTCAGTTTGCTTACAAACATTCACTTTCCACTTTTGATACTGTTGCTCATGTTGTTCACTCCGTTGCATCCTTATTGGATAGAGGGGCTGGCATCGTCCGTTTAACTTTTCTTGATTATGCAAATGCTTTCGGATCACTTGACCGAGGCATTCTCATTTGATGTCTTTCGGATTGTGGTCTGGCACCTAATTTACTGAATGTACTAATTAATTACTTCACTCATCGGACGCAATACACTTTTTGTAACGGTAAATCGCCCTCCCTGCTAAAAGTTAACTCTGGAGTTTTTCAGGGTGCAATTTTGTCTCCATTTCTTTTTTTCCCGTACATCAGGGACCTTCCCATCCCTCCCAACTTTATCACCNGTGGTGGTCGGTTATCCCTCGACTGTTCCTGTTCCTGTCTCTGCCAACTTCGAATTTGTCAAAATAAAATTTTTAGTTGGTCGACTTCTCGATCTTTATTGCTAAATGTGGATGAATGTGTGGATGTTTCTTTTACCCTTAAACAGGTATGCCTCATCAAGCCTTTTTGAGCAATTAGGATGTACTTTCTGTTAATGGCAATACCATCCCCGAAGCTAACTCTGTGAAATATTTTGGAGTCACTTTGTCACACAATCCTTCTTGGTCTAAACATGTTGAAAATGTTTATATTCGGGTTCATAGACTATCCGTCTAGGCTTTTAGACTTAAAAAGCTCAACGTTCCCTTAAATGTAATTCTTAAATTGATGACTGCATGCATTCTTCCACATTGGTTGTACTGTTCCCCAGTATATCTTCCTGGCTTGAAGGAGAAAGACGTTATTCTCTTTTCCAGATCTCCTAAACTTCTTTCTCGTTGACACGGCATTTCAAAGACCGTTTTGGTTGACTTTATTGTGAGCAAGCATTTTGATTCATGCGATTGATTTATCAGCCATATCCTGTCCAATGAAGAACACTACCTGAACTCCCATCTCAATAAATCGGTGTCTCATCCGATTACCCGTTCCCAATTTCGGATTCTTTGTGCACGCACCACCACACTCAAAAAACAGCATGATCTCTTATTTTGCTAGCATCTTGATCAACCGAGCAAATAGTATTACTGACCTGAACAATCATCTGTCACACTAAGCTTTTATCTAATCTGTTTGTTTAACGTTTACTAAATGTATATTTCTTCTTTTTTTTCCAATGCTTAACAATCTCCTCACTGTAACTTGTCGAAAATGCTGAAAATTCATCCTCTCGGGTGCATAAGGCTTTACTTAACTTGACTTGAAACTGAATTGACTTGGAGAACAGCATTTTTATTCAGGACAGCTGTTTCATTCGGATTGAGACTCGTCAACAGTGCGTAATTTGTGTGTCCTTGTCAGGACTTCACCGCATTTAAATGCATTCGAATAGTGGGGAATTAAAAATCTCCCAAGGGGTGAAACTCACAACCAACATCATCAAAAGTGTCTGACGACTATGAAAAACCGAATGGGCTAATCCAAACATTCACCATCAAAATTAATTGAACCATTCGCACAGAGTGATAACCGTCGACCGTGTAGCTCAGGGGTGAGGGTTTGAAATCTCCAGCCGAAGGTTCGCGGTTCGAGTCCTGACACGGACACAAAATGTACACACTGTTGGTGAGTCCCAAACTGAACGAAACAGCTGTCCAGTGTTCTTTATCGATTATCACAAACATTTTCACTGCATTCAAATGCATTCGAATAGTGGAGAATCAACAATCTCTCAAAGAGTGAAACCCAGAACCGACATCACAAATAATACCCGATGCCTGTGAAGAATCGAATGGGCTTATCGAAAAATTCACCATCTAGGTTTTTGTTCTGCTATCGAAAATCAATAGTTTCATGACCCGTGGTCACAACCACAGATATTCTAACTAGAGTAGATTCCGTGAAGTATTTAGGAGTTACCAGGGCCACAAACGTAAAGTCCTCATCTCATACCTACAACTGTTTACAATAACCTCGTGGACTATCTTTTCAACTTCGAACACTTGGGCATTTCAATGCAAAACAAAAATATAATTTTACTTTTTATATATCCATGTGTTTTTCCTATGCCTCTGTTAATTGTCCCCCGGTGATTTTCAATGAACTCGTTTAAGAAGACTTCAGAATTGCTCTTCGCGATTTGTCCATTATTAGTCGTGTGTCTTTTAAACTCGTTGATGACCTATCTGAAAAAGACTACAAAATTAGAATTGTCCGCATGTAAAACATTTACCAAGAAAATCATCTCTCATCCCACGCATCTTTTAATAATGACCTATCCAGATGCCGCTCTCATTCATCCACAAGTTCTACATGCCGGTTATTACCTTCTCGCATCAACCTCTACAAAAATTCTACAGTGCTTTATCTCGATGGAATCCTAGAGAAAACGACGGCGCATTTTTTCTAAATTTCTCAGCAACCTTGGCGGTTAGATATTCTACTCGTATTATTTTCTTCTTTCGATGAGATGCGCACTTCCCTCCACGCCAAAGTCTATGCAAATACACGTACAAACCATCCACTTTATGTGATATGCAATGCACGTACGAATCGCGGGACAGCGAGGAAGTTTGCGCACAGTTCCGATGCCTAATCAGCCTCCAGATGTCCAATGCAACATGGTGTATGTGAATGAGCGCGCAGTTACGCACTGACTACATTACAGTTAGTGGTAAGATATTCTGTGTGCAGCGCATTTGTTTTGTGTGTTCGCTGTATAAAATCTATCATCCAATTTTCACGATTTGTATGTATCCAATGGGCCGCATTGAGAGGGTGATACAAAACACAAAATAGGTTCTGATTCAAAAACCATAGAAATAATTGGTTGAGCAGTCAACAAGTCTAACTGTTCTACTCTGTCTGATTGTTTGGTACGGAGTTTAACTTTTGTTTTTCATACTGTCAGTATGAACGAAACACTGAGTAATTGGTGGAAATCGCAGTGGTTGATTGTGTAATTGTGAACTGAAGTCCGGGACAAATAACCTACCAATTTGGATACATTCTCACTGGGCACTTCTACCGGTTTCATGGCTCGCAGAGAGTTCAAAGTGGCTGATAGGTCGGCTGAACGTGCCTGGGTGGCTCGAAGTTGCTGTTTCAATCGTTCATTCTCCGCACTCTGGCCCGCACCAACCGAGGCCAGTTTTGCCATCTGTTCCGCAGAGCTGGCCAGTTTGCCAAGCGCCTCGTTTAAATGTTGCTCAGTTGTCGAGTGCCGTTTTTCCAGCACAGCAATGTGACCTTGACTCTTATCCAAAGCGACTTTCAACATCTTCGCAGGTGTAAATAAAACGAAATCGAAGATGTCAGACGAATGGTTGATGGTCATTTGAAGTGATAAAATTTAGAAAAGTGTCTGACGATTAGACTATGACAACTGCAGATTCCCACGGCACTGGTTTCTCTCATGCATTTTGTCTATGTTTATATAGGTCTAATCGAAACTGAAGCAACGGATCTTCGTGAAACACTTGTCGATTCGTATAGGAAACAGCATTTATACTGAAGTAATTTTTTTCTTAACAATAATAAACAAACCTTAGTGAGTCTTTATCGACGTGATTATTTTTATTCGGTTATACTCAGCAAATGAAATGATTCAGACTTTACCGGATACACCCATTTCATCAGTAGTGGTTGACCTAGACCATGATGACTTAAGAGGTAACTAAAGAGAATGAAACAATGTTTATTTACAACAAATTAACATTGATAACAATTAAGATGTGAAGTTTGTGTACACTAATAGTCGATTGGTCTCCCTTTGTTCCTTAGAACTTTTTCGGGTCTCCTCGGCATGGAACCCACCAACTTTGTTTTAAAGTCATTTTCTAGTTTGTGCTCCATTACGTATCGCAGTTTTGCCTCTAATGTCCAATGTACAGGTGGCACATTGATCTCCCTCTTCAAAACAGAAAACAGATGTTCGATCACATTGAAATCCGGGTTATAAGGGGAAAGTTGCATGAACTGGACCCTAAAGGTATGTATGCATCCTTTCTGAGAGAACGAGAACTTTTGTTTTTGAGCGCTGCTCTCTTCATTATGGTGACAACAATGCCAGTATTGAAAGCTTTGCAGAAAAATGACCTTGATTTCAAGGTTGACTTTGATTGCAGTGGTATTTATCGAATTCAGTGAGTTAGATATCAAACATAAATTCTTATTATGAAACCATATTTAATGCAATTTTTCTGTATTGTGAAAGAAGTTCATTTGGTTATCCAATAGAGTTGCTACAATGGATTATATATGGGATAAAAAATGCTTCATAACAAATAACCGAGATGGCAAGGGTTAATGGAAATAATTTGGGATAATTCTTTAGTCATTCCTATTGCACAGTGTTGGGTTTTCATACTTGATAAGTTTGTGATTTTCATGTTGCTATTATATAATCTTGGCAACCAAGGTCGGGTACGTTTAATTGACACTCATGCAGACTAGAAAATACGTAGATCGAAGTATGCAAGATATAAATTGTTGTCAAAGCCTAAAGTATTATTATAGGTGATAAATATAATGCAACTTAATTCGGTCATAAAGAAAATATTTTACTGTATCACAATCGGCCAGTACTGTAGAAAAAATTCACTGCTGGGATTCAATTACACAGCTCATTGAAGCAAAAAAAAGGTTCGTTAATTGGATTTGATCCTCCGTTATTACCTAGTCCCCATACAACTGGTACTGAGTACTGGGCTTCAAACAAATGGATTGGATTATACTGAATAAGTTTCGATTTCAGCTTTTGCCACCAGTACAACCGCTTTCCTTAACAAAGTCGACAAAAGAGTGACTGGGTACAGCGCCAGACTGACCAATCACAATCCACCTGGTTCAAACAGAATTTATGCCCAGCGAAACAGAGACTACGATTGGTCAATACTGTGAATTCAGTCAACGTATTTACTCGCATCGTTTTCCTGCAATAAACGGATCCTTGCTTCTGTAGCCTTCCTCTTGCTTCTTGACATTAGTAGATTGCGATTAAGTTACTCCGGTTCCTGATTACCGTCTATTATGATTACCATAATAACCTAGAAGGAGAACAGTTGCATTTTTTTTCGATTAAACTGGCAGTTTGTCATAATTGGTTTTGCGCTTTCTTATGTGATACGAAACTTGAGGCGAATATAAGCACAATGATTTGTGAGTCATCAACCCCCGTGATTCTCTCTCTCTCCTCTTGTCTATTTGCTTTTGGATTTTCAGACTGTTTGAGATCAACTGAATTGACAAGGATGCAAATATTGTTGTTGGCAATTTTAGGCTAACGCTTTTTTGGTTGAATAAAAGGTTCATAGCTTTTGCGGACGACCTACTGATCCTCGAGGGGCATTTCCGGTGGAATGCACCCAGTAATCAGTAACAAGTTTATTGGCCTCGCTCCACATCCTGAATACCTTCGGCCATGCTCGACAAGACAATCAGTGTCCAAACTACCCACCCTCCAGTTACGGACAAGTCCTTTACAGTAGCTGTCATGTGTTTCTCAGCATCCGAACCATGGGGTTCCGTCTCGGCCGTTCTCAGTGAAAACGGGCGTGTCTTGGAGCGAAGAGAGCATACAAAGCTGCAAGATATTCCACACACTTAGATGCTGTTAAGATCAGTATGTATGGTATGTCCGACGATCGAGAATAGTCGATTCAGTTTTTTCAGCCATTACAACCATTAAACATGTACTTTTGTGCGTCGGTTTTGGTTACTATCTTTTGGCCACCCATTTGGGCAAAAAACAGAATAAAAATTGGAATGATGAGAGAAGAGTCAAAGTGTAGATAAGGTATTCATGTAGACTGAGGTTGCAAAAATAATGAGTAGTTGCATGAGCACCACTGTTTGCGACACGCTGCCACATGACTCAGCGGCTCTAACCCCCGGTTACCATGATTTCGGGGTTCCCATCCAGGAAACCCAAATGCACCCACGTAATCCAGTGTCCTGGTTAGGGTTTGCATATCCTTATGTCAGGTCTTCAATTGACCGCTCTTGACCATTTTCCATCCATTGCTTACCACGTAAAATAGTGCTGGTTACCGGTTGAGTGAACATTGACCTTGCGTTGAACCCAGTTCGTAATGTATTCTGTTAGATAAATACGACAACAAGCAAAGAAATGAGATTCTCTTTGTTTCCTCCACAAACAGGCCAACCAAAAATCCAACCTATAGGGTGAATAAAGCTTAATTTGATTCGACTATCGTTCCAGGCGTATTATGAATCAGAAATGCACTTCAATATATACTGTACAAGGTTTGATCACCCCACTCAGCACAGCTGCCGTCACTCTCATCTCTAAAACTTGAAACATTCCCTCCGAACATCATGCATGATTGCTATCTCAAACTGGAAATTAGTAAATAATTACCTCATTCACTTCGAGTCTACGTAACAGAAAATGCATAGGCCCTATTGTAAACTGTCCAAAACACTGCTTCTTGACTGGGCTCTATACGCGGATGAACGGAAAATCTCACTCTTCACTATTCACTGAATTTAGACCAAAAGTGAATTTCCGGGAGCGAGTAAAATCTTGCAGTTTTTTTGGATCAAATCCTCCAGTTTAGCCTTCTCCTGCAATGTAGCTAATGGATATCACGTGATGATTTTTCAAATCAATTTGGAGACGCACCTGTCAAGGATGGCAGCCCGCATTTAAGCGAGGATCGGTGAGAGGGCATACGGGAAACGTGTACAGTAAGGTTGGATTCATATTGATTATTGCGATTTCTTTAAAATAGCTGGGCAAATGAGGACAAGAGAATGCAAACTATGAAAGAATGAAACTAACGGTTAACTGCATTTGAGTCGACTGACCTGATACGCCTGAAAACATTTTATCAAAGAAATGATTAATTTTATAGTGTATATCATTGGGTTTTGAATTTACAAAGATGCCTATAATTAGAAAAAGAAAACCAGAATTAAAATATATCTAAGTGTGATATACTTTCAAATTTCATTACTTTTATACAACATCGATAGAAATCATTTCCATAGGGCGTTTGCTCCTTGATTTTTTGCAGTGATAAAATAAATTTGTGAGAAAACCAGCTGTTGTTACTATTGTTGTCGTTGTTTTTGTTGTTGTTGTTGTTGCTGATGATGATGATGATGATGATAATAATGATGACGATGTTGATTGTATTGTTGTTTTTGCAATTTTTAGTGATGTTGATGCTTAGGGTGATAATGTTGGCGACAGTAGCGCTCATCGAATTGGCTACTTCCGTTTTGAAGACTCTCTTACCATAAGCCGATGGAGTTTTCAGCCAAACCATGATTAACGATTCAACTACATTCCCGGGGGCTTTGTTACCTAGTGAGATAAGGAAACTTTTGGAAGCCAAAAATCAAGCTTATAATGAAGACCTGCTAGATTGGCCACTTCATAGATTGTGTTTCAGAATAGACGCGTTTGCCTTTGGTAATGTGTCACACGTGAGATATCCCTTTAGCGTTTTGAATTGTGTAATCCATGATTGAACTGAAATCGAATGAATTCGTTCGAAGTCCGAAATCGGCGACGCATGTCGCAGAATAGGTGGAGAATTATTGAATCTGTATTTGTAATAAAATCCCCGGCTGGATTGAACCAGAAACGCAACTATAAACGTACACTGAACAATACAGAATGGCACCAATTCCATTTCCCTTGACCGGGGGTAGGGGGTAGGGAGGGAGAGTGATGACACAAATTGTATTCTTTCTTGTGTCTCCAGACCGACAAAAACACTTTAGCTTCCTTCCGATGGTACTGATTGGAAGAAACTTTGAAACGGTACATGCGGTACATGAAAGTCACGTTAATCGTTCACTTATTCATGAGGCCCACTCTGTTCTATCGCGGCCATTTATCTTTCGACATAATGGATTGGGCGTCTGAGGAAAGTGAAATGAAACAGTTGAATGCGACGCATCCCGTGATCATGATGCAGTTTCTTCTTAACCTAACGAAAATGTTTAAAGAAACGGAGTGGTACGCAGCAAGTCAAAATTGATAAAAATATTACATGGTTGCTATCGGAACTATTCAAATTGTCACTAAATAATATAGGGACATCAGAAATGTTTGTAATGATTTAAAAACGTATTGAACTATGATTACTCTATAATGAACAAAGTAAATGTGAACCGAAAAGCTGCAACGTACTGTAAAGCCACTAAGAATCAATCCTTAAAAACATCGCAATCCAATCTTTCGAAAGCTGCTCATCACATGTGATCGATTTTTTCAAGGTGATCGCGAACGACTTCTGTCTTTTTTCTTAGAGGCAGTCACTAGATTTTTTCGAAAATCACTGTAATCTTTAGAAGCATTTCAGTGTCTTGTCTATAACATGTAAATGGTGATTCGATGTTGCTGTTTGACGAATGTGTACAGCACCAGGAAACAGAATTTTGAGTTTTACACCGAAAATAGCCATTTTTGACGTTTAATTGTTACTCCTCATAGGGGCTCAATACTTTGTGACTCTAGATAGCCATTGCTGTCTTCTGACATTTCAAATCTTCACATCGAAAGATTCCGATTTGAACTATTTTTTTCAACCTGCAACAGTGAGACATTTTTAATTGTGTGGACGGGATCCAAACTGCTTTTCGATAAAACAAAAGTAGCACAGCATAAACTTTGATTGTGGCACAAAAGAAAGCTGTGTTACCACATGATTTCGTGTTCAAAACATGCCATTACCGCAAACGTTTACCGTTTTGTGAAGTTCATTAGGGTCATTCTTTGATTGATTGCTTGATTGATCCCCCCCCTACACCCTAAACATTAAAATGGAAATAAATTAAAAGCCAATAAACCGTGATGAATGCAATGCACGTTAAAACATACGGAATGAAATTATTGATCTCATCACATAATCCATATTCTATTAAAATGTTGTAAGCAATATTTTTCCCATTTGAATAGCCTCCTATTTCACGCACAAGCTGCAATTCAGTCCACCATACACTGGGGTTTAAGTTTGACTCTCTCTCTCTTATTAGAGCTTATCTGTGGTGCTTGTGCATCGACCCGTTCGACAGTTGAACTGCGTACCCTCGTGGCATAAACAGAGTGTATCCAGTTTACCAGTTTACTCACTCACGAACAAACCAGATTCACAAATTGTTCAAATTTCTTCTTTTGAGTGGTAATAATACAGCACTGATTAATTCGATAATCACGAAGTAGGACAGTGTGAAACCGATCTGACACATATGACTCACAGTTACTTGTTGACTAGTAGTATGGTATAAGCGATATTGAGCTGAACTAACCATCCTTCAAACTACACTCGGACTCGAATTTCGCTCTAGTTAGAGCTCACCTGCAGTGTACATCCACCGTCTCGTCCGGGATTTGAAGGCGTTACCCCTGTGTCAACTAGATCACCCCCGGGGCTAAATTGTCCATTCATGTTTGTTCGGGTGTCGTTTTTTGTAGCGGTCGATCAGTTTGGGCCCGACAGCCACGAAAGGAAGGCACAGCTGTCTGTCTGCTAGTTCCATTTGTGATCCTCCACCAAATCAGATCTTCCATGCAGGTTACAAACTGACTGGACTCCAATCTACCAGGCTGGGTGAACAATTCACATTTGACCAACGGTTACTAGTGCGTATCTATTTATTCCAAATGAAGCCTTAAACTATATCAGGTCTCTCTACTAGGTTTGTGAACTAATCCCGGAAATAATTTATAACTTAAAGGCCTTCCTCGTACATGAAGCTGAAAGTTTGGGCGAAAAGGTGAGTATGCATCAGGAATTAGATCTGACGGACGTGACACTTGAGTCTGCATTGTTTCCTGACTTTGTGGATAATTCAATGAATATAACACAAATTAACAATTAAGCTCCTTTTGTGTGTATCTCATTAATCCCATTACGATATAGTATACACGACTATCCACAATTAAGGATTTACTAAGAAAATGAGAGAGTAAAGAAAATTTTCAACAATTTGCATTATATTTGGTCCTCAATTTTAGTACGGAAGGCGCATATTCGTTGGGAGTCAAGTATCAGTTATTTTCTCGGATATCTCTTGATGGTTCGTTTGTCAGGAATCCGGCCATGAGAGCTTGAGTACTTGCACAAATTGCCTTTGAGCACACAACAGGGGATTGTGCATTCCGATCCTGACTGCCTCCGTTGCGGCTATAATAGAAAAACGCCCCGCTTCAATTCCTTACATGGGTCGTAAGGCTTCGTTCACAATTACTTTGTGGTTGGCGTCAGCAAAGTGCACTTGTGGTCGACCTTATTACATACTCAGTCAAACTGGATGATGCTCATTATTTACCCTCAAACAGACTTCTAACCGTGTGGCCAACATAATTTTCTCCCCAGTCGCAATTGAAAAACTGAATACAGGAGGAGGCAGTAGAACCAGGGCATTGTTTCATTCAAACGCAGGCACATTAATGGGCTAGATGGGAGTCGGACTTTGGCTGCATAGAACTTTTTGTTGATGATGGAATATGATAGCCTAATATGTACAATCTTTCCAAAGGTGTCATCCTNATAGCCTACTATGTACAATCTTTCCAAAGGTGTCATCCTCAAACAGTTAAGAAATTTAGAAACTTTCCTCATCAATGACACTCTTGCAAAACGCCTAATGTCTTTGCATCACTGATTCCATCGTACGTGTTCAGTATTCATTCTAGATGAATATATTCTGCACCAACGAACATGTCCTCGGAATAGATTCTTCTAGCTCTGTTGGATAAACAGAGCATCAGGTTCCTCCTCATACTGACTGATACCGAACTGAATTTACTGTCCTTTGTACTGATCGCTTGATCATCATCATGATGAATGATGATGATGAACCACATATTTGTAAACTCTAGCTGGTTACTTCATTTGCAGTTGTGAATTTCAAATTCTTGCAACAAACGCTGAAATCCTCTAGTACGTATGCACAGTCCATCATGTAAATCAACGACTCACAAAATGTCGTCTACGTGGCGCTTGGGCAGTACTCGTTGTTTGATGTGTATCAAGCGGATCGTTTTATAATTTGGACATGAAAACATCGACAAACAAGGGCTCTAACGAGGACCCCATTTCTACACCGTTCCTCTGATGATTGAATTGCACATTGCCAGGAAAGAAGATCACTCGTGAACGTAGAGTCTGAAGGATGGATCGAGTGAGCGTGAAAATGACGTATTTCTAACCATTAGTTGTACGTGATGAGTTGAAAATAGAGATATGAATTTCAGGGGCATTCTTTTTATTCACGTAATTCACAACGAATGCACCATCAAAAAAAAAACAGAAATAAGGTGTGCGGGCAATAAGAAATACTTAACCCATAATCAACTATTTATTTTACGATTCTCATACGCTTTGATTGAAAATGATGACGTGATTTGTTTCCTAGTTGATGGGACATAAGGAAAAAAGAAGGAAAACATGGATAACAGCCTGGTCCCTAATTTTTTTGTACGAAACGTGTATTCTTTCCCAATATTTTGCTCAGTTTGCTCGCGGTTCTGTTGTCGATTGCCTGTTTCAGACGCTTAGAGCAGACGATCAATTTATCTCCATATAAAACAGTTGTGAGCGATAAACATCTGTTAGTCTCAAGAGCACATTTTTCCAGTCAGTTGAGAAACGCGTTGTTCATCGATAGCTCTCTCTCTCTCTCACACATAAAACTTTTCATTCAAAAGTTGGTGTAAAATCACGATCCAATCGTGGTCGATTGTTGACTGTCTTCAACCTCGAGTTGAAATTCAGTCCTCGTGGATCAAATAGCCTGCTGCTGATTGACCGCCGGTGTCGCACAACTGTTCATCCCAGTACACCGAGTGGGAGGGGTCGGTTTGACTGACAATCGAACGGATGCCACATTCACCTTGCGACGTGAATTAGGGAGTGCCCACGGGAAATGTTTACGTCGTTTCAGGACAAATAGTTCTGTCGTTCAACGGTCCGATGCTCGTATGCCATACGTTTCACGCTAAACAAAGTTAGATATATGTATTGGAACTTCGAAAGAACTGCATGCATTGATTGGGCTGGTTGAGAAACCTCAAGTCGGACAAGTCGGGCGTGAGAAAGCGATGGCGTGCAAGGAGACGAATAACCAACCAAAAAGATACCCAATTTTTCTTGAGGTTAACATGACGAGAAGAGAGGACGAAACATATCTGATCGATATCCCAAGTGCTTTATATCCCTAAATTATAGACGTGGTCTTGAAAAGGGCGAATCTGCGCGTGGGACAGAACTGAACAAGAGAACACTCACACCGAAGCGTTCGTAAATAAGCACGGCATATTGTGAATTTTGAAAAAAATGGTGGCATCCGGTCACATTTGTTGTCTGCTTTAAAGTGTTTTACGTTTATTTTGTTACCATATTAAAGTCCTATACGAATAATGTGTTCTCTGTCACAGGCATCATGTTGAGACGCAGTGAAATCATCCTGGGCATAAATCCAACAGGATTGCGACATGGTATTTTCGTTTGAAAAACCTTAATAGAACCATGGGTTAGTCCATTGTAATAATGTTTCAGTTTACGAATATTTGAGCAAAATAAGAAATGATGGATGATATTTCGGTGGGGGGTGCAAACAAGCGGCCAAAATTATTACGAGTGCTGTGAGGTAGACATTTATTCGGAACGCTGTACAGACAGAGATCCCTTTTGTTAAACAGTACATGTTGCGGGTAAATCGATCGCAAGCAGCAAAAAACACCTCTGCAATGAAATCAACCACGATAGTTTTGCTAATACTACTGAAACGGAGAGTAAACGTATTGGATGATGGCGATGGTGGCCGACGGATAACGTCCCCCAATTACCGCTTCCCGGAAAAAGGATGTTCAAATTCCACCACCGTTGTCTGACTTTGTCTATTCTGAGTTGTATGACAGTCCTTGGACTATTCGCTTCCTCCTTCCAAACATTCTACCATTATAAATTCAATGAAAGGAAGTAAAACGAAAATAGTTTTTCCATTACAGACAGGAGAAGTTCAGTGAAGAACAGTATAACCAATATGAACGTATGTATTTCCTCACTAATTGAAGTATTGAATTTAAGAGAACGGAAATATTTTTAAGCTGAAGGGGTACAATCCCGTTGTGAAGATTTTTAACATCTTGGGACCAAGAAACTTTGTGGCAAGGTGACTCCATTTTGCTTCATTGCTATCATTCTAAACAGAAATCACTTTTCGGCCTAAAATGAACATCAACACATTTATCGAATTTAAGCATCAGAGAGACCAATGAGTAGGCAGCTGACGGAAACTGTCAAGACCACTTTTCACACTTTTCACACGTATACTATTCACAAGTATAGTTTGAAGCAATAAGAAGGTTATTTAGAATGCGCTCTTCCGTGGTGATTTACACTCAAATTTTAAGCCGTAAACTCATCATTTGCTCGTAAACACACTGTCGATTAGGACCAGAGTTTTTTTTAAACATTTCTATCACGCTGGAGAGCGAAGAGAATGAGCAGATTACATTTCCGCGTGTTCTACTACGTTGTCTATCAGACAGAACTGTCCAGTGCACCATCCATAGGAAACCATCGTGAAATAGGCAGAACATCTATTTCAAAAGCTATTTGCTGGTGAAACGGAAAAGAAACCTAATTTAGTTTCTCGCTACCAGAGAACAGAGAATGTGCACCGATGATACCATTTAGAGAGAGCTGAGGTTTATTCGAAAGATTTTCTTTCTTAACGGATACTCATTAAGTTTCGTGAACAACATTTTGAGGTGTCACCGGTTGCAACCATCGTTGAGAAGAAACTGGTTTACGCATCACTACCTTTTAGGGGCGACGCAACTGCTGGCACTGTGACAGGTTAGCTGAGCACAGCTGTGAAAAAAGTATTCGTCACAGTAAAAGCTTCGCATCTCCAGATCACTTCGGAGTTTTCAACTAAACGCAGCGAAATTGTCCTGGACGTGCATGCATCGTGCAGTATTGCAATATTGTCTTTTCTTTTAAATAATAAACTGCCTGTTTCAGTAGTCTATTTCCATGTGTACTTTTTTACTTGTTCCTGTGGGATAATTTATATTGGACGCACTAGCAGACGTTTATCTGAACGAGTCCCCGAGTCCCACCCAACTTGGCTGATTAGTGGAATGATTAAGATCATCAACAGTTCGATTGTTTCACACCTAATGGAATCAAACCACGTGGTTAATGTGGCCGAGGTGTTTAGAACCAAATACTTAGTACACTTAGGCAATTCAGAGTTGCATTCTCAGCCACAGCCTCCATACCCTTCTCCCCCCTTGGCTCTCCCAAAATATTTGCAAGAGAACTCAATTTTTACATGGCCAACACACAGACGATGTAGTTAGTCATCCCTCACCAGTTCCTAATGACCCGAAACAATGCTTGGATGTGATAATCAATGTGTGCGAAAAATCCGATCATTTAACTGCAATTTTGATTACTTCTCTTCTCATTTTCTGATGAGAAAGTGAATTGTGATGTATTAGCCTGTAGAAGAATCACCGCAAACTAGCTGAATTGCTACTGCGTGATCTGCTTGCATCATGTAATTAATGATGGTTTATTCGAACAATTTCTATAATTTTTTGACTGTTTCGATATGAAACACATGAGTCTAACCAGTTGGATGCGGTTGTTGTTTTCCAAGTGGAAACAATGGTTGGTTTAATCAGCTCTATGAGACGAAAATGTGATAAGCTGCAGAGTAAAACTTCCATGTTGGTTCACTCACCTCATTATGTGAGCGTAGATCACTGACAAGACGTTCTAAGGCCAGCTTCGCTTCCAAATCCTCCTCCTGTATCGGTTTGCCTGCTTGTACAGCCACATTTCGACAGGCTCGAACCGTCGAATCGGTCTGTACCCAAGCTGTGGGATAATTGTGCGGGGCCCAAGAGACCAGGCTTAACGCTTCGTCCCGTTCCGCTTGCACCTGTTCAACTTGTTGTCGAAGTAGTCGAATGTCAAACATCTTTTTTTCAAGTTCTTCTTTTAGTTGAATAACTCGCTGCTCCAGTTGTTGCTTTTGGGAAGATGAAAGCAAAGGGAACATGGGCCTCACATCAGGACACAGCAAAAAAGTTTTGACAAATGTTACTTGAAAAACAACATAATCAACTGGGCCAAGAAAATTAGTATTAGTTATATATTGTTGGGTGACGGTTTGGTTTGTGAACGATCTTCTTTGATATGCGTTCCGGAAGAAGCGTCGTGATCATAAGATATGTTGAATTTAAGTATCCAGTGAAAATCATCTCATCAGCTGGGGACGCATATTTTCCTCAAGTTAATTTTAAAGGTAAGTTTGTCAATCGATCAATAAACGCGGGCTAGAGAACTACTTGCGGAGGCCAAATATCACGAAATCTTCATCCTTATTGGGTACAGTGACAGAGTTCATTCTCCGTTGGGATGAAGGGGAGAGGGGAACATGCGTAATCCCATCAAGAATGTGTGCACATATCATGAATGAGAAGAATATCATGATCTACTTTTACGGTAGCATCGCTCCTTATGGCTCCCGTGAAAATATGAAAACGCTGCATTGAACCAGTTTGCATGGTGCACAATTATTTCGATGCTTCTTGTACGGAGCATTTGAAGGTCATAGCCATCAATCAACTTGTCCATGGTATACGTGTTGGTTCGCTTTAACTGTACAAAATGCAAAACTTACGTTGTCCAATTATACCCGAGATAAAATTCCGTTTTGGTTTGGACAATCGACGTGGATTAGTGTCTTTGTAAACATTAAAATTATTTCGATATGCAGGTAATAATCGAACTCGGGCAACATGATTCGTATTTCGGATATACCTTTCAGTTTCCAATATCATAAGTGCATACTGATGGTTATTGGTGAAGTGTACCTATTCCGAACTTTATCTCCCACTTTTATGTTCTTAGTTTCTCTCTATCACCTTTCGAATTTGCATGACCTTGAGTGTTGCGATAAGAATCTGTAATAATTCGAGAGCTACATTTCAGGTTTGGAAATATTTCGTGCAAATCAGCATGGAAATGCATTCTTTCTAATAAATGATTCCTTTTTCATAAGAGTGTTTATTTATTAGGTTGAACATGTGTGATCTAAATAACTTATCTTTTCATATCGAGTGCACAGTAAACAAGCCGAATTATGAGAATTGTATAGCTTACATAACTTGATAATTTATTTGGCTACAAACTATTCACGTATTATCCCTAAAGCAAGTAGAGCATTGACAAGATGGAAGTTAAATACCTGTACCATGTCAATGAATCATTTTTATAAATAAATTCCAGTTCTTATATATTTTACTGAGGCTTTTATTATTTAGCAGCGGATGCACCAGTAACCGTCGTCGAAATCGAGAAATGGTACAGGTTATTGATATCCGATCAATAGAAGCAGAAACATAAGTGAGTATCAGTACGAATATGTTGCGTTTGATGTCGAGGACAATATAATATTCAATCCCCCCCCCGTGAATGAAGATCGGAACACCACTACGACTACTACTACCACTACTACTACTACTACTACTACTACTATCTGTGCAAACCATTTGGAGGTTGATCCCCCGAAGTTAATGGGGCTGAGAAACCTTTGCCCGCTGTTTGCTTCATAGCTGCGAGCAAAGACCGCTTGCAACCTCGTCTTTGCCACAACTGAGTCAATCGAAATCGGCAAGCATAATCATCCCGCACCACCATGTTCGTGCTCGGAAATTGGTACGTGGAAACCTTCGGTTCTCCACGGCCCTTGTTGTATCCCAAACAGCCCAAACGCCTGTTGATCTACATGATAGGGACCAAGGTAAATGTATGATTTCAAAATTGAAATTTTACTATTGGTTTCTCAGCCCTTGACTAAACTATAACATGGAGAATAATAGAATATAAAATTGAATTACCAAAAATGCGGCTCCACCAATGTGTGTTGTTGTTGTTGTTGTTCGAGTCGTATAAACTGAATGCAAAGATAGCTGTATCAATGGACATCGAATCCAGGTAAACCCCGTGCATATGAACTACTGCTTCACCCTTACCAACCCTTCACCCCCGCAAAGCATCAAAGCATCAGAGTGAATCTGTCTTCAATAAAAGAAAACAAAAACACCGGATGCGGTATATGTTGAATGCGGATAGATAGAAATGATGTTAACTTGCCATCGACCGGGAGTTGTAGCGCAGACACAAACACCACACAACCCATTTTTGCATGGGTGCTGTTCCGACCACATCGCGTGAACAAGTTGGCGATTGCTTATTCCACTGGGAAAACCCTTACAGAACATACCGATCGCCTGGACCAGGGTAGTAGATAATCGACGATGTTTTAATTTTTCTGTCCCGCACAGTCCCCTGCTGTATGCTCGTGTATGCGTCAGGGCCTCAGAGTGAACAGCAGCGAGTATGGTTTTTATCCGATTTCGTTCATGCTCACGGACAAAGAGAAAAACACGAAACTGCAGAGAATCATATTCATGGGGATCGGAGCTCACTTTGGTCTCACTATCATCTCGTTTTCTCTGTTCTGCTAACAAACCGCGGAGTATGCTGATGGTATTGGCCAGCTGTGTACGACAAGCCGCGCGCACCGAATCCACCGAGGCTTCATAGCGACGAGCCAAACTGGTTAGTCGTGTCTGGGCTAGCTGATGCACGGACCATACAGCGGTGCGGATCTGCTCGTCCTGTTCAAATTGGAGCGTTCGATGAATACGGTCCATATCAGTTGGCAAGGCTTCAACTATCGCATTCAGCTCATGCAATCGAGTGTGCAATGCTTTGAGTTCGGTCAGGTCCGATTGATCGGTCTGTTCCCGGTGGCGGGGTGGGAGATTGGTGACAGACAGGACTGACAAATATCTGCCATTTTTGGCACCGTTTGATATGCAGTAGACTGAGCAAAAGATACCATGTTACTGTGAATCTTTTCGAGATTGAGGAGACTTAGTTCTAAAAGGAATATAATCTTATTCATTCTGATGTTTAACTTGCCAGTGAATATGTGAGATAGATAGTAAATTAACACTGTTGATCCTCAAAGTCTTGTAAACACGAAACAATTTTTGCTGCATATATGTGGTTCTCTTCTCCGATATATTCGTGCGTCATCTTCGATCGTGAAGCAACAAATACAGTTGCAGATAAATAAAAGCATTAGTTGAATTAATCACCAAATGACACGAGACAGGGAAAGTTCCTACGGTCATCAACAATCTGCTCTCTCCCCCTTAACTCTAAGCAGTGCATACGTGACAAGGATATCATGTTTGTCCTTTCGCTTTGTCCACAATCTAGGGATTCTAAAATCCCAGTTGACAGTATTCTGCACGCGTATCTCAACTATCTGTCATCAAAAATACATCCAATCAGATCAATGCACAAATGTGTTGTTCGGGGATGGAAATTGCCTCAACTTAACCTCAGCCTTAGATATATGAATTTCTAATGGACAATCAGTGAATTAACTTGTGATATTCTATCGGTTTCACATTACTGAATCTTGCAGATCTCATCCCCAGATTTCATCTTCACGGAAAAGAAAATAGAAAGCAGAGCGTAATTACCTGGGAAGCAGGAGTCTATATTGTTACAGAAAGCTCACAGATACACACCTGATGCACTGATCTCTCATTTGTTGCAGATGATAGTTTTAAACGCAAAACCAAATTTTGCAAAATCATAAACAGTTACCTTCAGGATATTGGATTCGTAATGAAGAATAAAACTGAAGATATGTTACAATTTCGTCATGTGCTTTTGTGCAGCCAAGAACGCGGTACACAAATACACTCTATGTACTACAAACGGACACAAACAGACCAGATACGCGCGCCCTTTGACTGGCTGCGCTACAATCTCGTGTTATCACATCTCATCAAATTTGAAGGTTTTTTTGTCATTATTAGGGCATTTATTCGTCGATATACCAGGTCGGAGATACTTCTACTCAAACACCCTAACGGATTCACATCACAATTCGAATCAACCACACTCAATTATCTCGGATTTCGGAATTCACACAAAAAGCACAACCGGGCCGGATGGCAAGTTGCTCTTAA